CGAACAGCGCCCCCAGGAGCTCAGGGGGTGGTATAACCTGCGCAGCCTCTCACAAGGGGAACGCGCGGAGGGGGATGGGCAGGGATGCTCTGAACTTGCCACTAAAGAAACGCAACACCAACCTTCCGCTCGGTTCGCTCCTGGCCGGTACATTGTTTCTGGCTGGAGGAGAGCCGGCAGAGTAGACGGGGAGGGGCTCTGGGCGTGCGGTCCTGCTGGACTCGCTGCTCTGTGAAAACGGAGCCACTCCAAACACGGATTACAGAAGTCCCCAGTGCCCTACGGGAGGCCTGTGCCAGGCTTCCCTCCCACGGCATGCAGTGCGTGCCTGTGACCTTGCCCTCCAGCTCGACCGTGGCTCTCTCACAACATTGCTGGGATGCGTCCAGGTTGCCGTGGGAACATGCGGGGGCGCTACGGGTCAAAACCCAGACCCCTCCGAGCTGCTGCAAAATAAACAACACGGACAGGGCCAAGTGGCCGGCAGCACAGTTTCGGCGGCCCACGGCTATCCGGGAAAGGGGTCTGGAAGGGACCTGGGCCTGGCCTGTTGCTGGGGAAAGTGTCCCTTCGTCCCCGGAGGAGGCTCTGCGCACACCCTGGAGTATCAGTCACTTCCCGGCAGCTGGGAGGACGGAGTCAGGGGCTGTGCAGAGAGGCGGGCTCTGGGATCAGGAAGACTGGATTCAAATCCAGCTCCAGCACCCACTAACCACCCCACTGTCAAACGGGCACCATAACCATCCCCCAGGGTTACCGTTGGGGTTAGACGAGAGGGGACACGGTCAAGCGCTGAGCCCGGCGCATGCCCAGTACCCTTACGTGCCAACTGGGGAGGGCAGGAGGTAAACCGCTTTTCTACGGAGAGCCGAGAGCTTGGTGCCGCTTGCGGATTCCCGGGGTCTTTGTTGGCGTTAGGTGCCCGGTAGCTTCGTAAACACCGGGGATTCTGCTTCTTCCAAAGGGATCGCTGCTTCCCTGAATGGCTTATCCCTTGACGTTCAGTCTAATTACTCCCTTTTCAGTTTGCAGGCGATGATCCCACAGTACACAAGAGCTCAGCCTGTAAACAGCTTTAATCTTGACAACTAGGCTTTATGTGTACTCCTTTTCCTGCACCAAAAGGGAAGATTAAAAGAACAAAAAACTCTAGTGATACATAATCATTGTAGGAACAATTAGATAATACAATACAAACAACCAGAAAGACAATAATAATCCAAATCTCTCCACCCAGAGACAACCACTGTAACACTGATTCTAGACTTTTTCCATGTAAATATACATGACTTTTTAAAACAAATTTGACTCCTATTACACAGATGGCTCTTTACACTGCTTTTCCAATACATATATGCCAAACGTCCTTCCAAATAACTAAAAATAGAAGTATAATCCACAGCATCATTTTCAATGGTTGTATAGTATTCTTTTATGTGGATATACCATAATGTATTTTACCAATTACTTAAGAGGTCTGGGTTCTGCTTGTGGCTCTAAACACTGTAGTGAGTCATCTTGTGCATGTATCTTTGTGCTCTCAGACACTTGTTTTGTAAGAACAAATTCCTGGAGGTGGAATGATAGGAAGAATAAGTATTTTATGAAGGCTTCTCAGGCTCCTTGGAGGTACCTTTTACAGTCCCTCCAATCTGAGGATGTGGGTTGTTTTCCTCATACCCACACCAGCCCTGGCTAGTCTTTAATTTTTTTTCCAACCCATTATATGAAAAATACATTCTTGTAATGTTTTCTTCCTTTTGTTTGATAACTAATGAGAATGATCACTTTTGACACTTACTGGCCCCATATCTGTGCTTCTTGTTTTACTAAATGCCTCTTCATTACTGCTCTCAGCCATTTTCCCTCACTCTTCGTTGTTTGTCCGAGCTTTCTGTAATAAACTCTTACACAAAACTCTGCCCAGGAAATACCCTTCCCTTAGTGGGGGTGAGAAATGACTGCATGTTTGTTGTTGAAACTGCCAATAATCAAGAGGGCTAAGCCTGGGTGGCAGCAGACACATGTGGCCTTCACGGGACTGAATTATTTCACACAGCCTAGTGTCTTTAAGGGTCATCCATACTGCAGCCCGTGTCAGAATGTCCTTCCTTTTTGAGACTGAATACTATCCCGTTGTATGGATAGATCACATTTTTGTCCCTCTGTCAGCTGTTCCTGGAACTGACTGCATTTTGAAGAGCAATATGCACAGGATTCACTGGAGATGGGGTTAAACACAGATTTTAATCAGTATTTCTTGGATGAGGCTTGAGAACGTAGCAAGCTTCTGGACCACCTGCCCTCCCAAGCCAGTTCAATTCTTCATCCACTGTGTCCCATTCCACTTGTGAAAATTAGCAGTAGCACCAGGGGCTGATCTTACAGGCAGCTTTTTAAAAATATAGATTATCCATTCTCTCCTTTCTGGCGCGTTCCAACCCCCACCACCCCACCCCCGCCGCCCCCGGCAACCCCCCACCACTGCCATCTGACAGGTCTGAGCAGCCCAGCCTTGGTCTGAGTGCCTCTCGGCCATGGCCAGGCCTCCTCAGCTGGCCTGGCTCCAGGCTCCCTGCAGGCCTCTCCCTTGCTCCAACCCCCAGCCTTGTTTTTATCGGTTATATATACTTGACTTCTTTCGTTTGGAATGAAGATCCTGAGGCTACAAGCCTGTATCCTGTGTTCATTCGTTCAACAAATATTTATTGTTACTTTGTGCAAAGCACTGTTCTTTCTAGATACAGAGGCTACAGCAGAGAGCACAAGAGATTAAATCCCTGCCTGTTACTAGCTTTCGTGCTGATGGGGACATAGATAATAAACAAGAGAAACAAGCAGAATTTTAGCTAGTGATACATATTAAGCATGAAAAATAAAGCAGGGAAGAGGGAGAGGGATTTGGGGGTAATGTTGCTATTTTAGGGAGGGAGGCCAGAGCAGGCTGCACTTGGAGATGAAGTGGGGTAGAGACGGGGGGCAGCAAGGGAGCCAGCCATACGGGTATCTAAGGGCTCCTTCCAGGTAGAGAGAAGAGCAAATGCGGAGGTGCCGGGGCAGAAGCATTCAAGGAGCATGGGGAGGCCAGTGTGATGGGACAGAGCAGGTGAGGTGGTAGAGGGAAGAAGATGAAGCCAGAGAGGCAGCAGGGTTTACAGATCATGCGGGGCCTGCCGACCAGGCTGTCCCATAGAGACATGAGAGCAACACGTGCATTTTAAAATTTTGTAGTAGTCATACTAGAAAAGTAAAAACCAATAGGTGAAATTAATTTTAATATATTTTCTTGAAGCCTATGTACCTGAAATATTCTTATTTCAACATGTGGTCAATATGCAAATTATTGATGAGATATTTTACTTTTTCATTTTGGTATTGTCTTTGAAACCCAGTGCATGGTTTACACTTACGGGACATCACAATATGAGCACTATTTCAAGTGCTCAATAGCCACATGTAGCTATTGGCTAGCATAGCGGGGAGCCGAGTCTAGACAGTGTGAAGACCTTGACTTTTCCCCTGGGAGTGTTTTTAAGTGTGGGTTTTATTATTGTTCAGGTATGGCAAAGCCCATGGATCATGAGACAACAGGCGGTTGAAAAATTCCTTAATTACATCTACGGTTCCCAAGAGAACTGGCATGCCACTCCACAAGGGGCCACGCCAGGAGCACCAGGGGCAGTCAGGAGGCAGAGGGAGAGGGGAAAGCAGGAGCTATATAGACTTTTTTGTGGTTTTTGTGGGAAGGAACAAGAGAGGTTTAGGATTGGTAGTTTGAATAATTCCAGTGGGCTCTAGGACAAGGGGCTGCCCCTAGTTGTCAGTAGCTGGCCCTGGGGTTTGGTGGCCCAGGGTGTAACAGCTCCCTGGAGGAGGTGCTGGGGGTGTGGGTTCTGGACTGGTTGATTTTCATATGAAAGTGCACTCCTGGGTCGGCAGAGGTTTGCTCTTTCTGCGTGCGAATTAGCCAGTCCCGGGAGGGGCAGTCTCTCCAGGGTCTGCAAGTCCCCAGGATGTCCAAGCCTCGGAAATAGGAGGTTAATTCAGAGAGAAACAGGAGCACTGCAGGGTCAGAGCCAAGCAGGGGTGTGATCGGGCTGCTGCGTGTGCAGGACTGGCTTCCAGCGCAGGAGCTTCGGAAAGGGGAAAGGGTGGACACGGGGCAGTTAGGAGGTGGTGGCAACATTGCAGGGGAAAGGAGGTGGGGGCGTGGGTAAGGATGGAGGCTCTGCGTGGGGGGTGGGGAAGCAGCTGCATTTTAGACAAGACGGACAGACAGATCACTAAAATGATTCCTCACATAAGCAACGAAATGAAAATAGACACTAGCCAGTGTACTTTTGAGGAAGGATAGGATCACACGTTTGTGGAAATGCTTAAATTCAATAAAATTCCGGGAGAGTTTAGACAGTGAAGTAAGACCAAAACAGACCCAGAGTTAACGCTCCGTTGGCTCCTCACCGCCTCCGGACGGTCCCTCTGCCAGACCTGTTTGGTCATCACATTTCCCAGGTCAGAGCTGGGGGGTTAGAAGCGGAGCGGTCCCCAGATTGGGCCGTACCCAGACAGGGCGCACCATCAGGACGAGTGGAGCCCCTTTTATTCTCACAGGAAGCCCCAGGGGTTTGCTGAGGGAAAGACTGTTGTAAGAGCCACGTGCCATTCTGTGATCCAGAAGCACCTTCCTCTATTCGGAAAGCAGCCGCTGCCCCGGGGTCTGAGGCTCAGGGGTCCGTGGGGTCTGCTCTGCTCAACAGTCCCCACAACCCCACGGCTCACCCCAGCATCCAGGCAGGAGGCGCCAGAATTACTTGTTCATATTTTCTTCATAATCTAAACAAAAATGCTTTATTCCTAGGGTCTCACATCCTTCATGCGTTGCCATTAACTCCAGCCCAGCGGCAAGAAGCACAGCCCGTGGGTACATCTCCTCTTCACAGTAAAACACAGAGGTGGGGTAAGCCATCACGTAGGCATGGAGATAAAAGTATCGAGTCCAGCACAAATCACCGCTGTCCTAGCAAGCAGCCAACACAGGATGCGGACTCTGTCTTTGCCAGGTGTGCCTATAAAGCAAGGTGGTTGATGTGTTAGCACCTATGCGGGAAGCCCCAGACGTCAGGGAAGTGTGTGCTCAAAGTTGCTCTCTGAGGAGGTGTATCTTATTCCGAAGTTTTTCCCACATCCAGAGCATATCTGGGACTCGCTTCTCCTTGGCAATGGCCTTCGGAGTCCAGTTAAGCCACGTTTTTTAGAACAAAATAACGGTATTACTCATTTTGATCTCATATATCATCTATCAGACTTGACTCTGAATTATTTTTTTTTAATTTTATTTATTTGACAGAGAGAGAGAGAGAGAATGAACAGATTGGGGGGAGGAACAGAGGGAGAGGGAGAAGCAAGGTGCAAACTCCCCGATGAGCAGGGTGCCCAATGCCGGACTCTATCCCAGGACCCGAGGATCATGCCTTGAGCCAAAGGCAGACACTTAACCTACTGAGTCACCCAGGTGCCCTGAATTTTTTGTTGTTGTTGTTAATTTCTGAGCTCATTAATTTAAAAAAGGCCCCTATTCTGGAAAGCAATTATATTCAAAGGCTACCAAAAAATTCAATCCATTGTTTCATCACTGATCATCACAGGGAATACCATTCCAATTGCATACGCATATAATCTCTTAACTGAAAACTTACTTATTGAGAGATTATTCCGAATTACATACAGAAAAGTTTATAAACTGTACGTACGTGTACATACTGATGAATTTGTGGATCTGAACACCCCGTTGCAACCAGCACTCAGACTGACACACAGAACATTAACAATGGCCTGGAGGGGCCCCTTGTGCTCCTTCTGGGGTAAGGATCGTCCTGACCAAGGCCAGCATCAGGTGAGGCAAGCAAGGCCCCTAGGAGGCACTGATCCTCAGGGTTTGCACGAAAACCTCCTTACATCTTGCCCTAGGCACCCTACTTCCCTCATTCTAGTCCCCACCTTGATCCTAACTTCTAATAGCACTGATTAGTTCTGCCTGCTTTTGCGCTTTGCAGAAATGGCATGATCCAAAATGCTCTTTTGTGCCTGACATCTTTTGCTCCACATTACGTTTGGGAGATTCACCCATATTTTTGCTGGGAGCTGTAGGTGGATCACTCTTGATTCCGTAAAGCAGTGATTCTCGAACTTGTGTGGACACCATTGTCAACTTGGGGGCTTGCTAAAACACAGATCGCTGGGCCCGGTCCCAGAGTTTTGTGTTCAGTAGGTCTAGGGCAGGACCTCAGAGATTGCTCTAACAAGTTGCCCCATGATGGTGACGCTGCTCTTCCTGGGACCATATGTAGAGACCCACTGCTGGCTGGTGTTCCATTGTGGGAACATCTCACCATCCACTTGTCCGTTCTAACACTGATGGACGGGTGGGTTTCCAGTTTGGGACTATTAAAAATAGGGCTTCTCCAATTTTGTCCATGTCTTTTGGTGAACTACGTATGCACTTCTGTTGGCTGTGTCCCCGGGAATGGAATCACTAAGTCTTAGAGTACACATAGGATCAGTTTTAGAGAAATTTAGAGAAATGGTTTTCCAAAGTGGTTGTGCCAGTTTCCACTCCTACCAGCAGATTATGAGGATTCCTGCTCCACACCCTTGCCAACACTTGATATTAGCCACCATTTTTCTTTCAGACATTCTGGTGAGTGTGTACCGGAATTTACTTTTCTCTGACAATGAATAAGGGAAATCATTTCATATGTTTATTGGCCATTTAGCTAGCTTCCCTGACGAAGTATCTATTCGAGTCTTTAACCCATATTTCTGTTGGTTGTTTGTCTTGTTCTTATTGATTAGTGGGAGTTCGTGATGAGTCCTTTGTCAGTTGTGTGCACAAATACCTCCTCCCATATGCTACCATTCACTCTTTTCAGTGTCTTTTAATGAGCAGAAGTTCTTAGATCTAATGTAGTCCAATTTACTAACTTTTTTTCTTTAAGGTTAGCACGTCTGTGTCCTGATTAAGAAATCTTTGCCAATTCCAAGATTCCAGATACATATTTATCCAATGTAAGCTTGAGTGTTATCGAGCCCAAACTTTGGATCCAGAGCTGTCAACCATGGCATGTGTACTTTCGGCAACCATGGCATATGTCACACGTTGTCCCCGAGTCTGCCCACTTATGCTCCATCTACACCTTCTCTGCTCCTATTCTGCTCTTCTCCCTCTTACCCTCTCGCCACTGGCTCTTCCATGTGGCGTCACATAGCTCCTGCAAACAGCATGTCCTCGCTAGCTGACAGCCTCCTTCCTCTTGGGTCTCCTGAGCTCATGATGGGGTCCCTGTGGCCTGCTCCACAGAGCCCACTGGACCATTGCACCATCCCAAGAAGACTGATTGGCCTGTGTTCCTGGGTCAGATGTGGCTGCAGGGTCTCCTTCTTGGACAAGAGTCCTTCCTTTCAGGGAAATATCTCTGTGTCTGCTGCTGCATAGTGTTCATTCGTTACTTTTCCATCTGGATGTCTAAAATCTCAAATGCCATGGCTGGATTTTAGAATGGATGTCAATCTCATAAAATTGGATTAGGGTTGAATTCATCCTGCAGATTGCATTTACCACACTGTAAACATGCCTTCCCAGTCCACCAGGCTGGGGCAACACGGATCCTGGGCAAAGCCTGACCCCAGGGGTGAGCAGGACCCACACAGGCAGGTGGGTTCAGCATGTTTGTGTTTGGAGGGAACTGAGGGTGGCCAGCAAGAGTTCACCGAAAGGTGCGGAAGGCTGGTAAGGAAGCATTGAGAAACATCATCATGGAAAGGACTTAAGACCAGGAACAAACAATTCAGGTACCAGCACATGTGGAAAAAATTCTCTTAGAATGAGTTCTGTGTACTTAGGACACCTTTTATTCTCATTATGTGGTCTTTATCCACAGGGCTCTTGGTCCATTTCTGAACAAAAAGCACCACTCTCCCAATGGTTAACAGAGCTCATTAAAACACCCTTCCTTATTCCTTGACAAAGTGGTAAATGAGGAAGTAGCCTAAACTGGGCTCCCTGAATATAGGTCCATTATAGATATTTTTGGATTTCCATTAATGGGCAACCAGAGGTATACAACAAAATATTAGAATTTGTTTAAGCTTTACTTTGAAAAGAATTAGATACATTTTAGTCCCTCAGCAGATCTGCCTCTATTTTCCAAGTCAAGTGTTACCCTTTTTTTGTATTTTCTGAGCTCACATCAATGTGCTGTTGGCCACAGTGGGAAGATCAGTTACATGTTTTAAGTACAGCTCCTGGAGTACAACAGACATGCCAACTAGTCTCACAGTGAGTATAAACATTGTACTTACCAGTCATCTCAGGTCTTCAGACTGTGCCTTCTCTCTCCACTCCTTTTCAAGGATCACCTCCTTCATGCCTTAGCTCTCTTTACTTATCTTTTTCTTTCCTTACTTGTTTTCTGGTGGTTTTCTTTTTTAGCCGCCCTATGGAAAGGTGTGGACATTCTCCCTTCTTTGCCCGCATCTTCTACCCTGGTTAATTTCCCGTCAGCCCTCTGTGAAATCATCATCCTCATAATCCAGTCTAAAAGGTGAATACTTCAAGACATAACTTTGTTCCTTCTACCTATCTGGTCTTGTCATTTATTGCTTGGGAGTACGGGGATTTTTTTCCCCCCAGTCACCGGTAGTTAAAGTTATACTTAAAAATCAAAATTTAGCATTCCAAGAAAATGATCATAGATATATGAAAAGATTACCAGGTGGTTCATCACAACATTGACTAGTAGGGCAAAGAAAATCAGAAGGAAGCAAATATCCATCTATGGAGACTTATTAAATTAAGATGTAGTCTTACGATAGAGTAGTAAAAGCAATCCAAATGATACTGTAGAATAATATTTGATGATGCAGAAAGTTGTTTATGATATATTATTGGTGAAAAAAGGTAAAAATCAATATGTAAAAGATGATCCCTTCTTTGCAAATGGGCCAAAACTATGCATCTCTAGTCATAGGAAAAAAAAAAAGGAATCTAATGTGAATAAGAAATAAATGTTATTTGGATCAGTTCTGAGTAGAGGAGAATCATTGTTGGATTTTATTTCCCTATTTTTGCTTATCTGTATTGTCTATGAAATCCACATATAAGTTTTGAAATAAGAAATAAATGATGGTTTTAAATTTTCTTAATGTAAAATTTCAGTGGATAAAGAGACATAGTCCTACTAGGAGCCCCAAAGGAGGCAGACAGGGAAGCAAATGCTTGTTTGGAGTAAGAGTGCATGTTGCCAGCCATGTGAGCTCCATGAGGAGGCCTGAGCTCTTGGCAGGTTACCTAGCTGGGCTTTGACCTGAAGTAGACTGCAGTCAACTCCCAAGAGGCCCCTTAGTAAGTAGGACACAAATTTAAAAACAGATGCTCTGAGCACCTGGGTGGCTCAGTCGGTTAAGCGTCTGCCTTCAGCTCAGGTCATGATCCCAGGGTCCTGGGATCAAGCCCCACATCAGGCTCCTTGCTCAGGCCTGCTTACCCCTCTCCCTCTGCTGCTGTCCCCCTGACACCCGTTTGTGCTCTGTCTCTCTCTGACAAATAAATAAATAAAATCTTAAAAAAAAAAATAAAGAATAGATGCTCAGTGACACACCACATATTTAACTTCTTCATCACCAGGGAAGCTTGTTCCTCAATGGTGGCTAGATTAGTCCCCTGGAGCCTGTGCAACAAATACCATAGACTGGGGGCGGGGCAGGGCGGGGGGACGGGTTTAAACAACAGAATTGTATTTCTGACAGTTCTGGAGGCTGGAATTCCAGATCAGGGTGTTGGCAGGTTTGGTTTCCTCTGAGGCCTCTCTCCTTGGCTTGCAGATGGCCACCTCCTTGCTCTGTCCTCACGTGGCTTTTCGTCCATGCATCCTGATCCTGGTGTCTCCCAGGTCAAAATTTCCTTTTCTTATAGGGACACCAGTCAGAGGGGATTAGGGGCCACCCTCATTTTAACAATGCCCCTCTTTAAACGCCCTATCTCCAAATATAGTCACATTCTGAGGTTCTGGGGGTAGGGCTTCAACATATGAATTTGAGAGGGACACAGTTCAGCTCAAAGCAGCCTCTGTCCTGTTTCAGGTGAACTTGGTGCTAAGGTGCTGCCTGCCCTAAGTAAGGCGTCATGTTTTTCTTAACAGCAAATGCATTTTTACCTCTGTCCACCAGAGGGCAAACTTTTAAAGCGCCTATTTTAAAATGTTAGCCTTGATTTTTAACTCTTTATAAGCCTAAATAGTTTCTTTTTTAAATGAAAGATAGTTAGAAACAGACAACCTTGTGCTACTTATTAACATGAGTTATTATCACTTTGAGTCTCCCTTTCTTTGAAAGTTCAGGATCACGTACTAAGGTAATTTTCCATTAGTGGGTGTGAACGTCTTGACAATTTCCAAAGTCAGTTGTTCCAAAAAGCAATTCTTGGCTCATATTACATTTTATTATAACTCCTATCACTTCAGTTTCATTATCTCAATTCTTCAGCACCTTCTGAGATAATTAAAGAGTTATCATGCAAGAATGGAAAGAAAATGAATTTTGAAGGCAGGGTGCTTCAATTCATTTATCTGTGTATTCAATTATTCATCCAGTTAACAGACATTTGCTATTATATGCAAGGCAGTGGGATTCAAGTCCTAATCCTGCCACTCAGAGGCTATCAGGACTGTGGACGAGTCATTCTCCCTGTATTTCCCCTTCCTCCTTCGTAAAAAGGACGATACTGATCTTAACATACTGTTCTAGAACTTTGGGTAGCCAGCTTGGAAAGCCTCGAATGCAAAGCCTCTGTCAGTTGTTACATACTTGCTAAGTCCCTTGTCCCCTTTGTAGAGCAGTTTCTAGGAGCCCCAGGGTCAGGGAGCCCCTGTTTCTGAATCTCTGGGGTGTGTATATTGTGGGGGAGGGGTCTTACTTCAGACTTCCTGATTGAGACCCTCTGGGGGGTAACGCCCAGGAAAACCTCCTTGTTAATAAGTTCACCAGCTGAACGGGCCGAGATCCACAGCTCTAGCCAGGCAGGGGTTCTCAGTATGAGCACTACTGCCAGGTGGGGCTGGGTCTCCTTGGTTTGGGGCTGTCCTGTCCACGGCAGGATATTGAGCGGCATCCCTGGTCTCTACCTTGCATGCCAACAGCACACCCTCCTCCTCTCTTGGTGTGACGAATGTCTCCAGACATCACCAAGCGGCCCGCAAGGGTCAAATTGGCCCCTGGTTGAAGACCACTGAGCCAGAAAAATGGAACTGGTCCCAGTGCCATCAAGCAGAGACAGAATCCCAGTCCATTTCCTCTCTGGTCACAGCTCCAAGGGTCCGGCCTCTGCCACACTGTCCACACCATCATTTCTGACTTCCTCAGGACCAGAGCCACTCTTCGTTGAATGACCACCGTGTGGCAGGAATGCTTTATAGAAATGAATGCGGAGAACACAACTTGGAGGTAGACGTGATTATGACTTCTGGCTTATAAGTGAGGAGTCAGAGGTTCGGAAACCTGTGCCCGAGGTCACAACTGAGTCCAGATGTGCCTCTGAACTCACTGCTTTCCGAATCTCTACAGCCACTGGCCATTAATTATGCCCTGCCCTGTCACTCTCCTTGTATCACTTACCTAGTCCCCTGGCAGTCTCTGTAAGGACAGGCTCCATGTCCGGGAGCACACCAATATGGTGGCTTCCTTGTTGTTTGGTGGGCAGAATGGAGGTAGCATTTCAAATCTTATGCCAACGGTGACATCTTTGTATTAGAGATACAGAAAGTCCGTGTGATATGCATATATCAAGAGTGAAGCTGAGCAGTCGGAACTGACTGTAGGTATCCGGCAGGCCAAAGAGGGAATAAACATGGCTTCAATGCGGAGGAAAGAGGAGCTGAGAATCACTGGGGAAGCCCTGAAGCCAGTCCTACAGAGGATAACGAGGGGTGGGAAAGGGCTGCAGGCCTCAGGGTTTCCATGTGGGCAACGGGCACACCACCATTCCCAATGTGGCAGATCAGCTGGGAGGCATCTCTAAGAGAAGGTGATTTGTGAATCCACAGCACAGCCCGTGTCATGCAATGATGTATCCGGGTGGTTTCTCTTCCCCTCTTCTGTCTTCTCACCCTGGTTCTTGCCTTCAGCTCAGAAGGGCTTTCTACCTTATGTGTGCCCCGGTGAAGGGGAAGTGTGTGGAACTCCAGACGGGGGCATGTTTCACGTTGCAAAGGTGGGAGGGACCGAGGGTGTCATGGGGACAGGCTCTCACCACCAGTGTGGGTCCACTTGCTCTCTGCAATCTTGCCTTACCTCCTTCTCTGGCAGGAAGGTCCAGCGAGGCTGGCCCGACCGGTGCCACCGGCTGAAGGCAGAGTGACAGGTAGGCATCCACCACCCTCTGCTGACCGTTCATGGAGCCTTCAGGTGAAGACCCAAGTGAACTCCAGGGAGCTGAGCCCACAACGCATGTCTGCAGTGGTGACAGAGCTGGGGATGGGCTAGTCAGAGAGGCCCTATGAGGAGGTGAGAAAATAAGAAGGAAAGGGGTTGGAATAATCCAAAAAGACCCCTGACGGCAGCTCCCGGTGAATGGCACGGGCAGACCTAACCCTTTACGGGGCTCAGGACTCACTAACCTGGGGGAGGCTCCACCTGGGCCCTGGGGCTAGTGACTCTGGCTGGACTCGAGTAGGAAGCCTGGAACTGAGTCTTCAGAGGGGACCCCGTGGAAGAAGGGCATAGAGAGTGTGCAGAGGCAGGACCGGAAACAACTTCTTCTTTTCTTTTAGAGTTTATTTATTTATTTGAGAGAGAGAGAGAGAGAGCACGAGCCAGGAGAAGCAGCAGAGGCAGAGGGAGAAGCAGGCTCCCTGCCAAGCAGGGAGCCCGATGTGGGGCTCGATCCCAGGACCCTGGGGATCACAACCTGAGCCGAAGACCAGACGCTTAACCGACTGAGCCACCCAGGCGCCCCCAGGACCGGGACCTTCTCTACAGAGGCCATCTGGGGCTGGGGCTCTGCTTCCTCCTTCCCCTCCAGGGCCATTCAAGGGTTCTCCTGGAACGGGGCCCCTCCCACTCCTTCCCTTTATGATGAGAAGCAAGTTGGCCTGGAGACTAAACCAGCACAGCTCTCCTCTGGCTTCACTGTTCACATCGGCAAAGACCTGAACCCTTGCAGGCGTCTGGAAAGCTCTGGGAGCTCGCGAGCGGGGATTCTTGCTGCATCTTCTGACATGCTTCACCTCCTCTGAAAGAGCATCGCCCTTGCCGCATGGCATTGTCATTGTCTTTTTGTGGCTGAGTCCCGTCCTATGTACATAGCTCAAGTGAATTCGACTGTAGGTGTCCAGAGAAAACTTTAAATAAAAAATAATCTAAAGCGCGTGATTTTGCCAGCCGGTCCCCCACCATCCACATATGCCCTGGGGTGTGAATCCGTGAGCATTTGTATCCAGTTCTGATCCTCTCTTGCTGGGAGCATCCCACACACCAGTGTTTAAAGCTACGATGCATATTTTTCATACAACATGACCTCAGAACACAAGCCAAGCGAAGTGCT